ACAATGAGACCTGAGTGCCCACAGCACCTGCCTCCCTGCAGCAGAGTCAGTGGCTCCTTATAGGTCCCATTTCTCACTAAAATACACCCAAAGACAAAGGTGCTGGCGGGCATCGGGGGAGTGAGGAGTGCCTCCCTGGGAATGTCTCTGCAGGGAGTGGCTGGAGTTGCTGGAGCCAAGGCAGGCTGCAGGCACAGCTGCGTTACACAAGTGGACACCTTTCCACTGGACCTTCTCCAATAGCTCCGGCATGGGGACATACCTCATACTTGTTTTTCACAGGAGGAAACTGACTTAGACCAGCAGAAGGGGTTATGTCACTGTAAGTTCCAGTGATAATAGAGAATCTGAAATTCAAATCTAGGAAGCCTGATCCAGGGCATAGGGAGTCTGATCACTGCCCTTCTATTTACTGTACAGGATCACAATTTGCTGTATAGGCTTTGGGACTCTAACACAGCCTGCCACCCAGATGTCCTCTGGCCTTCCTGAGAGAACTGTTCCAATCCAAGAACCCCCATGACAGGAGACAAGGAAAATGCAGAAGAGGACAAAGCAAGGGCTTAGTGCAGGATCAGATGACTTGTGTTCTGAAAGCAATGGAGAATGTTAGTGGTGCAGGTTAAAATTAAAAATGTTCATTGCACAGGGCATAGCATTTAAAAAGTAATGACTCACCCAGCTGGCATGGGTCAGTGCTTGAGCTTCCACCCGTGCACAAACAGTTCCTTGGTTAGAGTTCCAGTCAGAGCACATGCCCGGATTGCAGGCTCCATTCCCAGTAGGGTGTGGAGGAAGCAGCGATCAATGCTTCCCTCGCATCATTGATGTTTCTTTTCTTTTTTAAGATAAGGGACTCAATTTTCTTTAATATTTTATCGATTTCACAGAGGAAGGGAAAGGGACAGAAAGATAGAAACATCAATGATGAGAGAGAATCAGTGATAAGCTGCCTCCAGGAAGCCCCACCTGGGGATCTAGCAGGGGTCCACGCATGTGCTCTGAGGGGCAAAGGAACTGACCTCCTGATTCATAGGTAGACTGAGTCCCCTTGACTGGCTATCATTGTTTTTTTTTTCTCTCTCTCTCTCCACCTCCCTTGGTCTATGAAATCATTAAAAATATTTTAAAAATCAATTAAATATACTTATCAATTTAGTAAAATAAATTAAAATATTTTAAAATATATTTTTATTGATTTCAGAGAGGAAGGGAGAAGTAGAGAGAGAGAAACATTAATGATGAGAGAGAATGATTGATTGATTGGCTGCCTCCTGCAGTCCCCACACTGGGGATTGAGCCTGCAACCTGGGCAGCTGATCTTGACTAGAAGCTCACCCTGGACCTTTCAGTCCAAAGGCTGATGCTCTATTCACTGAGCCAAACTAACTAGGACAATTAAATTTTTTAAGTAAAAAATATTAAAACATATTATTCTAATACAAAAAAATGTTTATTTCCCCAAGTAAAAAAGGCACAAAATGAGTGAAATTCCAACATCCATCTCTGTTGTTCCACAATCCTATTGTTAAAGAAAATTGCCAAAACTCATAGCACATTAGGCAGAACATATGATGTTTTAACAAAGATACAGACTCAGCAAATACACTTCTGAGAAAATGCTCACCACAAATCCCTAGGAAAAATACAATCCAACAGTGAGGCAGCACAATAAACCTCCCCCCAAAAAAGTTTAAATAAATTAGGATTGACCGAACAAATTATGCTCTAGGATGTGGAGAATGTGAATCCCTAACACACTGCTGAAAAAAAATGTAAAAAATTACAATCAGTTAAAGTTTATTTTCTATTTTTAAAGAATAGTTTATTTTTTAGAGAGAAGGAAGAGGGAGAGAAACATTGATGGAAGAGTGCCATATGGGCCAGCCACCTCCTGCACACCCACTTCTGTGGATCTAGCCCACAAGCCAGGCACATATCCCCACTGGCAATCAAATCCACAACCCTGTGCTCCATAAGATGATGGCCAAGCACTGAGCTACAATGGCCCCGGTGGTATATTCCATTGAGATCACAATTTGCTCATCTCAGTAAATTTAAACATTCATCTACTCAAAAACCCAGATTATGCACTGTATTTTTGACAAAGGTAAATAACACTTATATACATACGAGGAATTATACAGAAATGTTTGTACCAGTTCTGTTAGAAATAACCAAATATTTATTAAAATGGACAAACTGATGACGATATATCAATGATAAGAAAACCTCTCAGAGCCTGAACTGGTTTGGCTCAGTGGATACAGTCCTGTTCTGTGGACCGAAGGGTCCAAGGTTTGATTCTGGTCAAGGGCATGTACCTTGGTTGTGGGCACATCCCCAATAGGGGGGGTGCAGGAGGCAGCTGATGGATTGAGCGATGTTTCTAACTCACTACCCATTTCCCTTCCTCTCTGTAATTGGGTGACCCGCGGAGACAACCACCAGGGACTCAGATGAAGATTTAGGAGCCTTAATTAAGTTGGCCAGCAACTACAGTTACAGCACCCTGCCAAAGCAGAGGCTGAACTGCAGTGCCGACTACAGAAGTTACATTTTATTATTCTGTGGAGGCCCAGAGAAAAATGGGTCTTTCAAATTCTGGGCCCCCCAATATGGAGGAAACTCTCTTTATTTATACTTTTTCCAGTCCTTTGTCTCCCAAATTTGGAATGAGACTTCCGGGCCTTCTGAGAAAGAAGAAAGGCGTGCTGGGAAGGGGCCATGAGACCATATCTCAAGGCCTGGCAACTGTCTGGGTGTCAGCACTGACAACTCTGTCTGGGGCATAGTTTAAGGCCTCTCTGGAATGGGAGTAGTCTGATTTTCCTTATTATTTAAGACACAAGCCATACTATCAGGGTTAAAATTTCAACCAACAGGTGTTTTTTTTGTTTTAATTTTTTCCCTTTATTGAATAAGATTTTACAAATGTGTCCTTATCCTCCCAATGTCCCGATCCTCCACCTCACACCGAGCATTCTGTAAAGTTTCCACAATAAAATATCTTTTTTAAAAAAAAAGAATATCTATTAGAAAAAACCTTGAGGTACTAATATAACTTGAAAAAATCTCCAAGTATTTATGAAAAAAAAATTAAAGCAGAAAAATACTTAAAAAAATAGTTTTCTATGAAAATGGGATGTAAATCCATGGAAACTAGGAAAGCTGTGAAGAACAGGGACAGGTTAAAATAGGACATGAAGCAAATACACAGTGAAACATATAGTCAGCATTATGACTATAATGATGGTTTCAGTTTCTGGCACATGTCAAGGTTTATGAAACACTATACTTAACACATGTAACTTACTCATTACAGCTGTTAAAAATGGTTCAAGATAAAAACAAATGTATGGTCACCTATTTTTGAAGCACAGGTTTCACAATTCTATATTCATTCCACATTCACATACCCTCTGGGTGAGTCTCATGTCAGTACAGAAAATGTAACAAACGATGAAGAACTTTCACCCAAACCCACAAAGCCACATACTTTGAGTCAAGACAGCCTTTGTCTCCATCATTGTTTTGCTGCCTGAGCACCAATGGCTCTGATGGGAACATTTGAGAAGACAAAAGAGCCACAAAACATCTTGATTATAATCAATGACAATGACTGCTCCACAGAAGATAAACATACCTGGGGTCCCTACGATCTGTGTCCACAGAGCTCCTGTAGTCTTTTCCCCCAAATAATTCCTGGATGCACAGTTAGATGAGGACCATTCCATCTAATGGGCTGCAGTCTCGTCCAACAACAATTAGGTCAGTTTTCCTGAAGTGAAAGGGTTCCCCCTCACTGCTATGGTCCTCAAACCAGTGACCATCACCCATGAAATTGTAGGCATTAGGGCATATGGCCCTCTGCAAAACCTGGGCAAGATATTCCCTTCACATGTATTGGCATCCCTTGACAAGAAAAACTGCAAAACCTGGGCAAGATATTCCCTTCACATGTATTGGCATCCCTTGCAAACAAGAAAAAAAATTCATGCTCCCAGACATACTTGAGGTTGTCACAGCTACCCCCTCTTTGGAGTGATCTCTGTGTCTCAAATCATCCATCTTCACATGAGAACTAGAGTGTCCACCGTGTTTCTTAGGAAAATATGGGCAGCAGTGTAAATTTGACAACAACTGCTGAGCTAATTTCTGCACCATACTGTTGCCCCAAGGGCAAAAATGGTTGACAACCCAAAAAAGTTTTTCAACTCATCATGCTTGGAAAGCCCAGATCTCCTTATAAACTAACCTATAAAGTTAATAGAACACCCAACATTTCTTAGGAAAAAGCCTTCATTATTTTACAAACCAAACAACAGAGACTGGCAGTTCTTCCACTGATGACTCAGGCACTCAATAAATTCATCACTGGCATCTAGGGAAAGTGTTTCTGAAAATGGCAGTCCCTCTGTGTGGGGAACCGATAGAGGGTTGAGCCTTGGACTACTTGCTGGCAAAGTCACAAACAAGTCTCAGCTTAGAGGGCTCAGTCCTCTTAGCATAATTAGGCTTGACCTTATAACACTCCCCAGATCTCACCTGGGAAGTAATGGGCTGAGGGAAGTGCAGGAAGTGTAACTATGGTCAAAACAGGTGAAACTCACAAGAACTGTATAACTATGGTAACCTCTGCCTTGTTTACCTCTGACTATAAAAGGTCGGTGCTGCCTGAGCACCGGTGGAAGTCCTTCCTCTTGAGTTGGACTTACCCACCTGGCCCCCCAATATTCCCAAATTATCTCTTGTCTTTTCTCTTTCATTTGTGTGCGAGTCCTCTTCCAGATCCTGAACTCTGAACCACGCGGGACGTGGAGGGAAACATTTACAACACCTCCGCAACATGTTTATGGGGGCCAACGGAAATCAGTCCTATGTGGCGAAATCAGTCCTATGTGGCAACTCATGACAGGGAAACAAGAAAGAACAAAGGGCTCAGGTATTCCTCATTTTCTTCAACAAATTAGACAACAGACTTAGCTTCCCTGGGCACATGAGGACGGTGAATGACGCCGTTGGTAGAGACCCTATAGGTGGTTCAGATGAAATACCTTCAGCAACAGAAATATGCAGAGACATAGATCTGGCAGGACATCCTGTATATTAGAACGTGCAACATAATTACATAGTGTTCCAACATAAAAACACACAAACACAATAGCAAAAACACTTATGGGAACTTAACATAATATAGGTGATTAAATATATGAGATACAATTCAGAAAAATGAGGATTCACAAATTTTGTTGTACTATTGTTAAGGCCTCACTAAGAAACGACATTTCCTACACATCTAAGAAATTTCTCCCATTTGTACTCTTATGCGGAGAGCGAATTTAGAAATTTGGCTGAGAGATACCTCACAATAATTGCACTCATAATAGCTTTATCCATTGTGAACTCTCTGATGATAATGGAGACCACTTCTACCTTTATAAGATTTCCCACATTCAGGGCATTTATAAGGCTTTTCTCCTGTATGAACTCTCTGATGTTGATGAAGAATGTTCTTAGCAGTAAAAGATTTCCCACATTCACTGCATTGATAACGCTTTTCTCCTGAATGAAGTCGCTGACAATAACGAAGGTCACTGCTAGTGGTAAAAGATTTCCCACATTCACTCCATTTATAAGGTTTTTCTCCCATATGAACTCTCTGATGTTGATAAAAGCTGGTCTTAGAGGGAAAAGATTTTCCACATTCACTGCATTGATAATGCTTTTCTCCAGTGTGACCTCTCTTATGATACTGGAGACCACTGCTACGTTTATAAGATTTTCCACATTCAGTGCATTTATAAGGCTTTTCTCCAGTATGAACTCTTTGATGAAAACGAAGGGGAGTGCTCTGGGTAAAAGATTTTCCACATTCACTGCATTTATAAGGCTTTTCCCCGTTATGAACTCTCTGATGTGTTTGAAGGATGGTTTTAGTGGTAAAAGATTTCCCACATTCACTGCATTTATAAGACTTTTCTCCTCTATGAACTCTCTGATGAACACGAAGGGTAGTGCTCTGGGTAAAAGATTTTCCACATTCACTGCATTTATAAGGCTTTTCACCTGTATGAACTCTCTGATGATAACGAAGCGTATCGCTCCGTGCAAAATATTTTCCACATTCACTGCATTGATAAGGCTTTTCTCCAGTGTGAACTCTCTGATGAGAACGAAGGGCACTGCTCCATGCAAAAGATTTTCCACATTCACTGCATTGATAAGGCTTTTCTCCAGTGTGAACTTTCTGATGATCACGAAGGGTATTGAACCGTGCAAAAGATTTTCCACATTCAATACACTGAAAAGGCTTTTCTCCTGTATGAACTCTATGATGATCACGAAGGGCATTGAACCGTGCAAAAGATTTTCCACATTCACTGCACTGATAAGGCTTTTCTCGAGTGTGACCACTTTGTTGACAATGAAAGCTAGAAAATTTGGTAACATATTTTCCACATTCAGAGGACACAAAACACCGACTTCCAAGACGGACACCTTTTTCCTGAATAAACGTGTGGGTGCAACTAATGTCTCTCTTACATTCTTTTGTACTGTAATAATTTTTTCTCCGTTGAAATGTCATCCCACATGCCAAAATTGCAGTTGGACTGTCCCTGGTCTGAGTAGCCTTTAGGTGGAGATGTCCTGGCCCAAATAGGACACCCTGCTCACCCTGCCCGCATGTGAAACCATTCTGGGACACATTGAAATTGCAGCTGTTTGCAAGTGAGATCCTGTCCACACCTCTAGTGAAAGACTTCTCTTTCCCATGCTGCTGGTGAAATTTTCCATGGAAATAAAATCGTTTTGCACACGTTCCACACCTCAACAGTATCTGTCCGTGTTGTGTTCTCTGCCCCTCCATCATGTGGAAAATGTTTCCCAAGACTAGCCCACAACTCTCACAAGGGTGGCTCTTCTGGGAAGACAAGGCTACCTTGGGATTCCTTGCCTGTGACAATCTTACAGAAACCTTCTGTTCAGTCCTTGCCTCCACATTCTCTGCTCCACAGCAGCAACCTAAAGAAAAGAAACCTAAGTGAAGTGCATGTTGACCTGATAATAACAGAATATCTTCACCTCAATTGTTATGTCACAACTGGACATGATTCCATACAATGATTTTCAAGACAAGTAAGTCAGCCTCTCAGGAAATGGCTGTTATATATAACATGGCCCAAAAGGTCACTGGATGAGGAAAATCTCACCAAGGGAGGACAGAAGCATAGGCTGGGATAAGAAGAAGAGAGGCAGGGTCTGCTCGTTAGTACTCCACAACTGGCTTCCTTTAGGACCTTTCATGCTGGCGATATGAGTCTGTGTTAAATAATTTCAATGTGCTCAAACCCATAAAATATCAATCATAGTAAAGTATGTGATGTTCAGTGTCAATATAATACGTGTGCGCTCTAAGGCTCTGCAGGCATGCAACAACACTGGAGTGCAGTAAAGCCGAGATGTGTGATAGAGGTAGAGGGGCAAAGTTTAGAGAGGTTCAGGTTATCCATGGGCTGGGAGTCCCAGTAGAATGATCACTATTAAAATTGAGTCATAGGCAAAGTGTCAACATTAAGCAAGAAGAATTAGAATTGGGTGAGGAGTGGGCAATGGTAACAAAACATTTTTGTTGTTGAACAAAATCGCTTCCTAGTTATGAATGTAACAAAGCCCAGGCGTGAAAACTGCCCACAAATCCCTTCACCAAGGCAAGACTGCCTCTGGGTCTACCCTGTCATTGATAAAGCCATGTTTCTCCTGTGATCAACAAAGATTTTACCTCTTAAACCCAAGTTGAGCATGGGAAAAATGATGCAAATCTTAAAAGAAAACCTAAAACGAGGTATGGTCAGCATTGTGGTACAACAACAAACCACAAATGAGATCACAGGGAAAAGACCTATGAGAACGATATCAGCAAGATGGCAGAATCAGAGATAGTCTTTCCCCTTCCCAGAGTAAGCAGACAGCTATCCATGAAAAAAAATCCCACAGGAAATGGGAATAAGAGTACCATGAAGACACACAGTAATACAGAATACCAAATAAGGACAACTGCATAGAAAGGATGACAGGAAACTGGGTGAGCAAACACATTTGAAGATACCCAAGGTCAAAAAAAAGGGTTAGCCCTGACTGGTTTGGCTCAGTGGATAGAGCATCGGCCTGCGGACTGAAAGGTCCCGGGTTTGATTCCGGTCAAGGGCATGTACCTTGGTTGCGGGCACATCCCCAGTGCGGGGTGTGCAGGAGGCAGCTGATCGATGTTTCTCTCTCATCGATGTTTCTAACTCTCTATCCCTCTCCCTTCCTCTCTGTAAAAATCAATAAAATATATTGCAAAAAAAAAGGGTTAATAACTAACTAACTAAGGAAATAAATAAATAAGTAAATAAAGGAAGCAAGGGTCGGCCCTAGTTGGTTTTCTCAGTGGATAAAGTGTTAGCCTGGGGACTGAAAGGTCCAAAGTTCCATTCCACTCAAGGGCACATGCCCAGTTTGTTGTGGGTTCAGAACCCAGTAGGGGACATGCAGGAGGGAGTTGATCAGGGACACTTTCTCATCATTAATGTTTTTCTCTCTCTCTCTCTCTGTCCCGCTTCCTCTCAGAAATTAATAAAAATGTATTTTTTTAAAAAGAGGGTCAGCCCTAGCCAGTTGGGCTCAGTGGATAGAGCATCCACTTGTGGACTGAAGGGTCCCAGGTTCGATTCAGGTTAAGGGTGCATGACCTGGTTGCGGGATCGTTCCCAGCTGGGCGGCATGCAGGAGGCAGGTAATTAATGATTCTCTCTCATCACTGATGTTTCTCCCTCTCCCTCTTTCTTGCTGTCTGAAATCAATAAAAATATATTGTAAATAAATAAATAAAATAACGGATTAGGGATACCACTATCAGCCACTGTGCTTTTCTTCCCATTGATTCTAGTGGCCTGTTCTCCAAAAACCCAGAAATTTTTGTTTCAAAAAACCACACAATGCCCTGGCCAGTGTGACTCAGTTGTTTGGAGCAGCGTCCTGTGTATTGAAGGGTCTAGGGCAGGGGTGGGCAAACTTTTTGACTCGAGGGCCACAATGGGTTCTTAAACTGGACCGGAGGGCCGGAACAAAAGCATGGATGGAGTGTTTGTGTGAACTAATATAAATTCAAAGTAAACAACATTACATAAAAGGGTACGGTCTTTTTTTTTTTAGTTTTATTCATTTCAAACGGGCCGGATCCGGCCCACGGGCCGTAGTTTACCCATGGCTGGTCTAGGGTTCAATTCCCAGTTAGGGCACATATCAGAATGTGGGTTCCATAGCCGGTTTTCAACTGTGCAGATGGCTTGATGTTTCTCCCTCATTTCTCTGTCCCCATTTCCCTTCCTCTCTAAGTAAAAGAAATAATAAAGAAAGACATAAGAATTTCAAGGTAGCCAAAAACAAAAGAGATCTCAAAAAGTCTAGAGGCAAAGTAAATAACAAGACAACCTACCAAAGCTTATGTATAACATTCAGAAAATG